CTGTTTGAGGAGTTGAATTTTTTGTTTAGTTTTATTATTTGATTACGATTGTTTGAAATTAATATTATTTCTTCATCTGCTATCTTTCATTTAATTTGATTTGTATTGTTTTGCTGTATGTGCTTTGTTTTTGTTTTTTTAATGAAATGAATAAAGTTAATAATCTGTATCTGGCTTTTTTCACCATTTCAGACATGTCGTCCAGAGTGCGACCCTTTTTCTCGTCTAGTTCGCTCTTGATGGCAGAAACCCTCTCCAGCTCCTCCTGAGTGTTGCTGTAGCCAGAGATGCCCTTCTCAGCCTCCATGGTTTGCTTTGAAACAGCAGAAACAGGTGCATGGATTTAGAAAAGGGCCCTCCAAAACAACAACAACAACAACAACAACAACAACAACAACAACAACAACAATCAATATTATTTCCTGTATTCATGTGATCTGACATGACAATACAAATACCAACATCAACCGTCATCTGATCTTTACCATCTTACAGTAAAAATAAATTCATTTATTACACTAGATTGCCAACTATTAATCAACACTATGCAATAAAATGACGAAATAAAAACAAAAGATCAAGAAAAAGAATTACAAGGCCCTYCGGTTATAAAAGAAAAAAGCTGATCAGAAAGCTGCCGTTTAACAGACCCTAACGTGGGATGCAGACAGAGGAAAAGCAGCAGATGCAGCCATCAAAAATAGCAGCTCAGCCTGCGTCAGACAGGCCATCAACAAGTCAGGTAATCTGACCACATGAAGGTGTGAAACCTTTTCCAGGAAGCTTCCCCCAGTTCACAGTTAAACAGACTGAACGCAGAGCAAACAGCACGTTTGGAAAAAGCAGTTTGAGTGCAAGAAATGGATGAATTAATCTGTTTGAATGAGGAGGGTGTTATTTGATTAAAAGAGGACTAAAATAAACAATGATTATTATGGGTTTATTTAATGATAATTTYATTTAATGAAGTGGTGCTGCAGCACAGCTGAGTTAAATTAAGCTCCTCGAACAGTGCAGCGTTTCACAGACAGCTGTAAAACTGGACACAGCTCAGCCGGTGGCTGGAGATGAAATACACCTTTTCCTCGTGTTAGGGATGATTTCTGTTGTATTCGTCTATCWTTTCAGAGCAGGATGTGGCCTTACCAGTTTCTGTTGGACGGTCTCGTGCCTCTGCTTGAGAATCTCCTCGGTTCTCTGCAGAACTCCGTACTCTGCTTTCAGCTCTGCAATTTCCTGTCTTTTCTTCTTGCTCACTGTTCCCTTGCTGCGCAGTTTTCCCACCAAACGTTTCAACTAGAAAAAAACGAAACAAAACAGTAAACATTTAMAAATGTTACCTTAATATAGAAAGAGCACCGGATGTTATTGATAAAACTAAGTATTTCTGCTGTGTTAGCAGAAAAGCTTATGACAGGAAATCCCTTCAGAGAAATATGTAGTTATACCTTATATTAGGGCTGCATGATATTAGGAAAACCTGCGATGTGCGATAACAGTGCTTAACATTGCGATGACGATATGACTTGCGATAAATGAACAAATATGTATGTATATGTAGTCGGGCTGCCACAATTAGTCGATTAGTCGACAACTAATCGATTATTAAAATAGTCGATGACTAATATAAAAATCGATTAGTCTTTTTTAGTTCTTTACTTTGTTTTTCTCTCCAAACTGCTTTGACACCTTCCACTGCCACATCTGCCTTTCTGTCCTTGACACACATGCACAGTAGTGGTAACTGGGGTAGGCCGTGGACATCACAAGACATTATACAGACAGGCTCTGGTATCATGGTCAAACAATGTTTTAGTCAAACAGAACCAACAAGAATGAAACAAAAAGTAAAGAATTAGAGAAAAAAAATAAATGCTGAATATAAATA